TTCTTGAACCGATAGTCGCCATCTTGGAGCCCAAAATGGCGCCCGGCATCGATTTACGACCTCTACACGTTGTCTTTTTTCCGGAAATGCCCATATTGTAGGGTATTTGACAGTTTTTCTTGAACCAATGACCGCCATCTTGGTTTCCAAAATGACGTCTAGCATCGATTTCCGGCCTCTAAACGACATCCCTTTTCCAGAAATACCCATATTGTAGGGTATACGACAGTTTTCCTTGAACCGATAGTCGCCATCTTGGATTTTAAAATGGCGTCCGAAAAAGATTTCTGGCCTCTACCCATCATACCTTTTCCAGTTCCTGTCCTCACATTGCACAGCAACATCCGTATATGAACAAGCTTTTCATACATAACATATTAAGGAAGTTCATGTACACGCTAGCGCCGCGTAGTGAGATAGTTCTGAAATGATATGACCACCATCCGAAAGGGCTTGGTTAGCTGAACAACTTTGCTCAAGACAGCAACTTTCTACATGGCCAGGTTCTTGAGATACAGTTTATATAGAAAGTTCACATGCACACTAGCGCTGCGTGGAGAGCGAGAGAGCTCTGATTTAATATGAACACTATACCAAAGGAAATGCTCACCTGGAAAACTTTACTGAAGACAGTAACCTTCTATATGGCCAGGATTTTGAGATACAGCTTTTATACGAAGCTCATGTGCACACCAGCACTGTGTAGTGAGAGAGTTCTGAACTAATATAAGACAGTAACCTTCTATATGGCCAGGATCACGATATATTCTATGTTGGACCTAAGATCCATATATTATAGCGCCCGTTATAAGTAACATAAAAGTGAAGCGCCTCTATCGGCGTAGTTCCCAATTAAACCTGTATCCAATGACACAGGCTTGTTAGTCCCAGTACAACAACTTCGTCGGAAAAAGTATAGCTCTATATATTGAAACAAATGAGATAATCCACTACAGCCCTTATTAGTGCAAATCCCATAAGCTGTGGGTATCCTTATTCGCGGTTCCTTATTCACGCCCCCGTTACCCCGGCAATAAGGATTCCTGACTGTACTTATGTTTGCACGGCACTGGGTTTCTTTGATAAACCCCCCGGTGTCGGTGCAGCATATTGGCACCCAACCGAACCAAAAGAGAAACCCGAACACGGTGCTATAGGTTTTGGCTTGGCACCAGCGAATCCAAACACATAAAGCAACCAACGATACAGACAAAACGGTTGCTACGACTACCATGACAAACTCGCTCTGTAACATAGCTCGATCCGCGTGGTAGAAGGATAATGATATATTGCTTGCCTGCTTTGTTGCAATCAGTGTTGGGAAAATATCAAAAGATCAAATCTCACCTATGAGAATAATCTCATTTGAGTATCGTAAACAAAAATCAACAAGCAGACAATATCGGATGATATTAGAAGCTGTGATACGGCTGCTCTGATATCATGCTAACAAAACTCACCAGCTACAATTCTCACCAAACTGTGGTGAGTTTGAGCTTCAAGATTTTTGATGTACACCCGAACACGAACCGAAACTTCCATCACTGCTGGTAGCAGTAACTTCGTGTCTGTCATCTGTGAAGAGTAAAGAGAGATAGCAAGCTATGCTTTCTCTTTATAAGAATACGATGTGCTACGGAATCATTGTGGTGGTAAGTCAACTCGTAGCTACAATTTTACATATTCTGAATTGTCTCGCAGTATCAAAGGAGCTTGTTAAATCAATATCATGCTTGATATTTTATTCCAGTATCTCGCGTGATATTGGGAGCCCTTGAGAGCGAAACAAAATCATTTGAGTGAGGATTATGCCGTCATTGGTTGCAATATACACGGATGAGGACAAAGCTCGATATAAATCGAGAAAAGACATAACAAAAAAATTCCCATTAACACACGTGTATCATCTTCGGGTTTACTTCGTGAAGCAGCTTGCCAACAATTTGCTCGTTTCGTTCTACCGCCCCGAGTGAGTTGTGTCGCACGAGCTGCTCGTCATGAAAAAGAACGAAGAAGATTAGATTATATCAGTGTCAACATTTCAAATGGGCGTAATTGCTTTTGCAAACAATGGCTTTAGCCGTCGATTTCTTGCAAATAAAAGCCCACTCATCAAAATTACATATGCTAGCTGGTACAGGAAACATCCCTCTGCGTGCTGGTGTCATTCATTTTCATGAGTAAGCTTTCATTCGCGAGAAATCGACGACTAAAGCCATTGTTTACCAATGCAATTACGCCCCTTTGAAATGTTGGCACTGATATCATTATTGCTTTCCACTTCTGACATAGCGTTATTATTCGGTTCGTTGATCGCTTGTCATTTTGTCATTTGGAGATATTTTTGATTCCTTGCTCGGCACCGTGCGGCACGGTGCCAACGAACCGCTTGTGATTTCGACGTCGAATTCGACGTTAAACTTTTTCTGTCCGCTTTCAAGGTACATGAACGCCAACTATCAGATAGGGACTGAAAGTTTAGCATTGATTTGTTTAAATTATTGTTGTTAGTCCAAAGATTTCTGATTTTTTGAGTTTCTACTACTGCATGAATACTAACCCCTACCCGTTTTATGACGAGGTAAATTTTAAGCGCTGGGGCAAATAAAAATCGTCTTTTTTACAAATGCTGTGCCAATGACTACAAAGATACACTATTTCTAGAATTTATTTCAACATTTAGAGTAAATCGGTTCGGTGATTCAGTTCTGGGATTTTCGGGAGAATCAAAAGTTATTGAAGATCCAGGCATTCCAAAAGTTTCTGAACTACCAGAGATTCGGTACACCTGGAATTTCATGAGTGCTCACAGTTCCGTGTCTTTCAAAATTTAAGTATTCCGATAATTCAGATTTTTTTGCAGTCGATATTCCCAAAGCGTTTGTCAATTTGGAGAGTTCTCGAAGTGCTTTGACATTCGGCAGATCTTGGAATTTTCGCAGTCCCGGGAGTTTGAGAGTTCTTCAAATTGCGAGAGTTTTTAAAGTTATCAGTGTACCTAAATTACCTGGAGATCACAAGAGTTCTTTTAGTCCCAATAATTTCTGGAGCATTTATAGTTGTAGCACAGACTTACAGACGTAACCCTTCATTGTGTATCTTCGTTCATGCATTTCACGGTTGATTTGAATATTATCAGTTCCGCGAACTATTCGCCGCAGCGCTGGTATCGGATCACTTTGACGTTTCTATACATTCTATAGAACTTTTATGCAATATTGTTTGCGAGCTAGCGAGCAAGCTTGTTTTCCGCGAGAAGCCCGAGAGATGTCGTTACTGAGGTCATATGTTTTGAGATACTATGTTTTCAAGAAAAACTTTTTCAAAGATTTACGTCTGTTTGTCTGTGGTTGTAGGCTGCAGCTATCCACTTTGTTGTACGCCATACTTCAACCGTGCGTAATTTTTCAACAGTTTTTTCTTCAGTTTGCTACTTCTTTGGCTACTATGTTTCAACTGAAACTTAAAACCTGCCCTCAGCGTAGCGTTGAGAACTTTCAAAGTTATTGTTGTAAAGCATTTGCTGTCTGTATCATATTTTTTTCATAATTTGTATATTCTATGGCAAGTTTAGCGATCATCTATGCTTAGAGAAGTCAAAAATAAATTTCATCCCGAAGCATTGTCTTGCATTATATAAAGATTGATCTAAGGGAATTCCCTAAACACCATTTAAATGTGCAGCAATGCCAAACACTAAATCCAAGGACTGATTGTCCAGCGTACCATATGGCTCCATTTGAAAAGTTAAAATGTTTGAGCATCCTTACACAATTTGAAAACAAAACAGAAAACTTCCACCAAAGCTCATCCCCGCACCATTACACCTTTCAACGATATTTATCGGCCACTTAAGCACAGCAAATGAAATTCACTTCACTTTATCTCGAATTTCCCTCCCGAACAGCCTTCAGCCTAGATCCTGATCGAAAATAATTTGCATTTCCCTTCATCCACCACCGTAGAGCGCGCACTGGAACGATAAATAGCCAGGAAAATCACCTGCCATTGTTGTTCGCGCCATCAACATTGTCATCATGTAAAATATGTACACAAAATGCCAAGGCCGGGCATCCAGTCAAAAATCACTACGCTCACTCTCGACAAACGATAATCGAATTTGCCTTCCATTTCCCGTTTCATCTAGCCACCTCGCTGGCTGTACTCCAGTCGATTGATGCGATGCGAGATTAATCCCATTGCAGTCCATATATCCAATACTCCAATAGGTGATTCCAGAAAGATGGGACCTGCCGGAAGGCAAAATCTTCATCAACATCACAGCACTTGAACACTCATTAGCTTGCTTGAAACCCAATTGACCTAAATAACTGGAATCGAGCATGAAACCGGTACTTAACCGCTCACCGGAAGTGAACACAAAACAGGACAACTCCAACGAAACTGTGGAAAGCAACAGGTAGAAGACGAGACGATTCGCGCTCGAAATGTTGGCACCGATCCGAATCGCGCCACAACTGGATATCAACTGAGCTCAACACGGCAGGACGAATCCCCCAGAGTCTAGATTGCATGCTGGAGTGTGCTTCCGTTTTTCCTCACTCACAGTAGGCAGTCTAGTGTCTACTTCTGATCGCCTACTGTGATTCACTTTGGGAAAAAAATGTCCCGCTGTGATCCACGGTCTTGAATTACAATACTTGCTCTGTCTGCAATCAATTTACAATGCCTTCGGTTGTATCAATCTATTTTGATTACTGTCTTTTCTCGCAACGGGAGATACATAAGTGCCACTTCACACACCAAAAATCCTGGCACTCAGTTGAAGAATGTGTAACAAAGTTTTCGGCAGGAGTACTCAATCACTCATACGCATACATAAATACTGCATGTGGGTTCCTGCCAGAACAGGAAAAGCTCATCCTTGCCACAACTTTGTCACCCTAGACATCATCCCGTTCTATGTTGCATCGATTTTCCACCAGCATGCAACACATACATTAACCCTGACTACTTTCTCTTTTCCACCCTCCCGACAGGTCTAGACTCCGTGATAGCTGACATCAAGAGCGGCCGCGTAACGTTACGTCGTCGCAAGCCGAATGTACTCAAAGACCTGGAAGGCAATCATGATACCGGTGGTTCCAGTTCCAGCATCACTCCCAGCAACCACAACATTGACACCAACAACTTCAACGGTGCCTACAGCAGCGGCAACAGTAGACGAAGCCAGCAGTCCTACAGTCAACTGGCTGCCAAGAATCCGGCCATGCGTGAGATGTACGAAATTCTCGAACGGATGAAACGACGCAACCGCCAATCGAAGGTTATTGTCGAATCGGACCTGGTGCCATTTTGCGATGTCAATGCTAACGGTTCCGATGAGGGCAAGTCGAGTGAGAGTAAGATTAGTGATGCTACAGATGGGAGCAGCGGGAGACGAGCTAGGACTGTGATTACCGGTGTCGTTGACATTTGAATTGATTAACGAAACTACTTATTCGACTACGTGATTCAGCTTAACATTGCATTTGGTTAATTTAATTCAGAAGCTAGATTATTATTTTACTTTTATTAATTAGCTAATTGTTCACTGTAGTGTACGTTACTATTTTATGTCATAATAAACCATTTTTAATACAAATCTGTTATCTGGGTTAAGTATCACGTCACATTGTGTCTACTTCTGGCTGCTCATAAACTATGTAGAAACTTGACGAATGTGTAATGCTCAGAAAAATTTTCAAATTTCAATGGACGGGTCTAAAATCTCTCATAAACTGTCTATGTAGTTTATGAACAGACTGATGCAAAATTTGACTTTTTCGCTCCACAGTGCTTAAATGGTTTCAAATCGGGTCCTGATTAGTCTCTCAAAGTTACAACTCATTTGGTTAGAAACAGACTTCGCACAAGCCGTTTGAAGTTTACATGAAAATTACTATGGAAAATCTCAACTTGTTGTTCATTGCCTTCTAGTCTTTTCCATAGTGAGCTGCGAAACAGTTCGATATACATTCTTATAGAACATTTTTTCAGCTACAACTTAGCTGAAGATTGTTTCTACGTAAAACGAGACAGGAAAAAGTTATTATTTATTTAAGAGATTGGTAAACTTATGACATGATCAAGCAGCTGCTCTGTAGGCAACACTGTATTTTGCAGTGTGACATAGTAGCCATGATTTGTGTGTCCTATTCAACACCCCAGAAACACCAATGTTGCCTGCTGAGCAGTTGATTGAGCATGATCATAAGACATCAACGCATTGAACTATTGATAACTTTCGATCCTTGCATTTAATCAAAAAGTGATCTTGAGCAAAGTTGTAGCTGGAAAATTTCCTACAAGTACAGGTGAAAACTTTTGAAGCAGACCGATATGGTGAATTATTAGATCGACATGAACAAACATCTTCGTTTTACCACTGTAATTCCCATACAAACTTCAAATGGTTTGTGCCATCTCAGTTTCTCACCAAATGGGTTCACATTTTGAGAGGTTAGTCAGGATCCGATTTGGAATCGTTTAAGTATTGTGGAGCAAAAATTTCAAATTTTGCATCACTCTAATGAACAGCCTTTTAACTTTTTTTCCTCTGTTCGGGTAATTTGATCTACTGTAGTATACCCCGTGTCCTTCTCACTATTGAGAAATGATGAAGTATTCGATTTTTTACAGTTGTATCAGCGTCTAATTGAAAGGTCACGCTATTTATACCCTTCGTAGTGTTGGAACACCCTCCAAATGCGCGCCCCTTTGTCAGTCAAAATTGGATTCCTTAGCAACAAAATTAAGGAATGACACCGGTAATGACTAGGAATCGGTGGTAGATCTTACATCCCGTAACGTACCACGAAAAGGTGATCCACCCATGTTACGGGAGAGCCCTTAACTTACTCGTTGATCTATTTAATGAACTGATTAAATGGCTGAAATTTTCAACTATCCAAACGAACATCATCTCCGACAACACGGACTATGAGCGGGACGCCATAGTCTAAGAGAAATGAGCGAAAACAGTATCAGCCCGCATCGTGCTCACTTGCCGTGCGGATCTATTTGCTTTTTGGTGCTACCTAAAGCTACAATTAAACACCTGCAAATTGTCTACCTTGTTCGATTCTAATTCTTCTTCTATACTAATTTGGACCTTACCCGAGGTAATCCAGCTTGGACATCGATTTGGAAAATTCCTCTTCGATCCTTCGCATTCTTATAGTAATCTGTTTGGAAGTCGATTTGGAGGAACGTTTTTCTGCCACCGCCTAAACGCAAAGGAAAAGGGCAATCTCTTGATTCTCCTTCAATTTGATATGCTCACGGAGAGATGAGAATGATCCATCATCGAGGCAAAATTCCATCAAACATTCCCGGCTTATTGCAACGAAGGAAAAGGTCCCTCAAATTGTGATAACCACTTCCGATTTCCATGCTCTTTGCACGGAACTTTTGAATTTCGTGAAAGTTAAGTTTTCACTACAAATTGGACGTCGGGGTGAATGCCGTGTATTGGCTGAAACCTTGGACGGATTTAAATGTCTTCTCAAGTATCTTACTGAGAAGAAGCACAAATTTTTTACTTACGACACCAAAACTGAACGTGTGTTCAAGGTTGTCATGAAAGCACTGCCCAGTGGTGAATCCCTGGATCAGATCAAAGATGAACTGGCAAAATACCTTGGAGTTGTGCTAGTCCAAGTAATCGAAAGGAAAATGAAATCCCGCCCTGGCGTTTCGCGCAACGGGATTTCTAATGATTGTGATAAGTGAACTAAACAATCTTACGGCCTAAGAAAAATCTAGCCTTACGCTCCATATCCGCGTAAAGTGGGAACACTTCAGGAAGACAAGAGGACATTTCCCAAGCCTCACCCAGTGCCGTAAGTGCCGTAAGTGCCAGGGATGGGGTCACGGAGCTAAAAATTGCTACATGCCAGCTAATTACATGAATAATGGTGATTCCTCTCACGTAACGGACAACTGTCCAATGAAGGAAGATCCTTTAATTTAAATCTTCAAATTTGGGTTAAAACAACAAATCCATTTTTTGGGAATGTAAGGCAAACAAAGCAATCGATCGTTCTAAGCGACAGATTGGAGACGCTACACATTTCCCAACCAGGTACAACTTAATCTGCTGTTAACAACAATTTTAGAAAAATAGAATTTTTACAGAAACCATTAATCGACATGATTACTGATGTTGAAAACTAACTCCATGGTTGATGCTATACAAACTGGAGTAAAATTTGCGAACAATATCGTCATGACTTTGAAATTTAGTAATCGATTTTAAATCAGTAAATATTTTGAATTGGAATGCTCGATCTCTTAAAGATAATGAAGACGAGCTATTTAACATTTTGAGAGTTCATAACGTACATATCGCAGTTATAACTGAAACGTTCCTTAATCCTGACCATAAGGTTAAAAGGGACGCAAATTATTTCGTTTATTGAAATGATCGTTTCCATCATGGTTCATACACGTATCAAACATCAAATTCTTTCTTCGTTTGAAACCAAATTTTTTGAAACTTTTGTAGTTTTTGTCAAGACCAAATTTTTACAACTTGCGTTTATATTTAGCTGCCTATTTGCCATTACAATGCGTAGGCCAGCAAAAGAATTTTCTCAAGGGTGACTTCCCGTCATAGGTCAAAATTCTTCATTATTGGTGATTTGAATGCAAAACACCACTCATGGGATAATGTTCAAAGCAATTCCAATGGTAATACAGTCAGGAATCCTTATTGCCGGATTCCTTATTGCCGGACCCTTATTGCCGGGCTAACCGCGAATAAGGATACCCACAGCTTATGGGATTTTTACTAATAGGGACTGTGGTAGTTTGTCTCATTTGTTTCAATATATATATTGTTTTGGACAAATATGTTGTACTGGGATAGACCAACAAGCCTGTGTTATTGGATTTAGGTTTAATTGGGAACTACGCCGCTAGAGGCGCTTTACTTTAATGTTACTTATGACGGGCGTTATAATATATGGATCTTAGGTCCAACATAGAATATTTCGTGATCCTGACCATATGGACAGTTACTGTCTTCAGCAAAGTTGTTCAAGTGACCAAGTCCTTTTGGATGGTGGCCATATTAGTTCAAAACTCTCTCACTACACAGCGCTAGTGTGCACATGAGCTTCCTATATAAGCTGTATCTCAAAATCCTGGCCATATAGAAGGTTACTGACTTCAGCAAAGTTGTTCAGGCGACCAAGTCCTTTCGGATGTTGGGCCTAATAGTTCAGAACCAGGGGTTGAAACTGTTGACGTTTTTTACGACACTCGCTTCGTTGTCGTGCGCGACAGTCTGTTTTTATTCGTACTCTCATGCTCTACCGTCGGCTCTCTTACACAACACAAACGGTAGAACAACATTCGAGCAAATGGAAAATTTTCAAATAATTATCATATGACATGTGTGATTTCGTTCTAATTCCTCAATTTGGTGTAAATTAAACCATTTCTGATCAGAAATGTTATTACTAGGACATCGTTGCTTGCTATTTTCAGAATTCACACAAGCACAACATCAGCAGCTCTAATCATGAGAAAAACTAAAATACATACATTCGTGACGGTCTTCGGCGACAGTGTCGTATGACAGAGCCTGTCATATGACATTTTAGTTTGGTACTGTAATTTGATAGCTTGTTTTGCTAGGGTCGGAAGCAAAGGCAGTCGATTATCACTGAAAATATGTCGACTACGGTGACCACTTACAAGACTGTTCAGAACTCTCTCACTACGCGGCGCTAGTGTGCACATGAACTTCCTTAATATTTTATTTCTGGAAAGCTTGTCCATATAAGATGTTGCTGTGCAATGTGAGAACACGAAACGAAATAGGGATGACGTGTAGAGATGCTGTGAATCGATTTCGGGCGCCATTTTAAAATCCAAGATGGCGGTCATCGATTCAAGAAAAACTGTCAAATACCCTACAATATAGATATTTTCGGAAAGGGAACGACGTGTATAGGCTGAAAATCGATGCCAGACGTCATTTGGAAATCCAAGATTGCGGCCATCGGTTCAAGAAAAACTGTCACATACGCTACAATATGGGTATTTCGGGAAAGGGTACGACGTGTAGAGTCCGGAAATCGATGCCAGACGTCGTTTTGGAATCCAAGATGGCGGCCATCGGTTCAAGAAAAACTGTCAAATACCCTACAATATGGGCATTTCCGGAAAGGGGATGATGTCTAGAGAGGCTTTAAATCGATTTTGGACGCCATTTTAAAATCCAAGATGGCGGTCATCGATTCAAGAAAAACTGTCAAATACGCTACAATATGGGTATTTCCGGAAAACGTACGACGTGTAGGGTCTGGAAATCGATGCCATACGTTATTTTGGAATCCAAGATTGCGGCCATCGGTTCAATAAAAACTCGCAAATAGCCTACAATATGGATATTTCCAGAAAGGGGACGACGTGTAGAGGCCGGAAATCGATGCCAGACACCATATTGGAATCCAAGATGGCGGCCATCGATTCAAGAAAAACTGTCAAATACTCTACAATATGGGTATTTTCGGCGAGGGGATGACGTGTAGAGGCTGGATATCGATTCAAGTCGTCATTTTGGAATCAAAACTGGTGGGCATCG